GGGCAGCCTGTTCCAATGCCTGGTCAAAGAACCTGATGAAGAACCATCACTGCTCCCAAACCTGCTACTTTAAGCAGTATGGAAACCACAGGTTGGACAATAAATGTTCCTTGAGGCTTAGAGGCACTTTGCAGGCAGCAGGAAGCATGGCATAAAGGTGGCTCATTTCCCCTCCACCTGACCCTGGAACTGGCTGCTTGGTGAGCTGTTCTAACAGGCTATATACCTCCATTACACCTTCACCAGCAGCCTTTCAGACAGCAATGTGTATCTTGCTGCTGAAGAAACTCAAAACTCAGCACGCAATGGGCAGTCTGGCCCTTAAGAAACACTCCTCTTCACCCTGAAGTTAGTGTAGCTTGTAAAGTTTTTGTCCACAACAGGAAATGGCAGCTCATTGATACCTATGGATTACACCACCACAGAAATAAGAGTACAGTGCACAAGGAGCACAAATGTTAGCTTTCTAAAGGAACACCAAATAAGATACATGGATTAATTTTAGTATAGCTTTTCAAACAAAAAGATGTGATTTAAGATACTTTCTAAAGCTAAATGAAGCCTGAAAAAGTTACAGTGAAGATGCTCATTATATTGTATGTGAAAGCACCACAAATCTACCCAGGTAATTCCAGTATTTCAGAATATGGCTCAAGCCCTCCACACCATTCCTTTTATCCTCACAAGTCAGGCACCAGTGCTACAATCTGGAACAGCTTTAACAGCATGCTAGGCACACAGCTGCTGGCCCAGCCAGGAATTACCCATTCATCAACACCCAACTTCCCTTTAAACATATGCAGGAGATGATTCAGAGGTAAGGTTAGATCCGTGAAATGCCAACATACTCTCTTCCTACTGTAAGAGCGATAATGCTGTTTCACACTCAGTTATGTTCAGGGTGTGTGTTAGTTCACTGGCAATGTTTCAGGTTTGTGACAGCGTGGCAAAGCATCTCTGCTCTGCTTAGAAGCCCTCACAAGAGACCCTGAGAGACCCACTCTCACCAGCTATAAGACAGGATGTCAAAGAGCTAGAAAGTACCCACCCCCCCCAATGAAATACCAAAATATCAAATTGAAATACCAAACTATCCATAACCAAATGAGATGACCAGAAGGACTGCAGAGAAAGCCTGGAATCCAGTCAGGAAAACACAGAGAACAACAGCAAATAAGTCATTCAGGGTTGTGCTATCCTGCATGAACACAACAAACTAAGTTAAGATTTACTCAGTACTTCACAGTTTTGCCATTCATTAATTTCAGAGCACTTGATCTGACAAATTTAACTCTTTAAAGAACCCTGAAGTTTCCAGCAGATATAATTATGTACGGTTTCCACATAATGATAGTAGGGAATCAGCTAAAAATGGGGGGGGGAAGGAACCTACTTCCCCAGAGTACCACTGAGAGAGGTATGTCTGAAGCCTGTAAACACTATCTGGAGTTTGAATGTACTTTTAACACAGTTCCACATTACAAGTTAGAAAGGGAATGCTGTCCTCAGTCCATAATTTCAGCATTTCCTATGAAGCTTTAGAGATGGAATAAATAAAAAAACCAAGACAAGTCCCTGCACCATCCACCCAAGTACTTTCACCTGGAGCTATTTCGAAATGAACTTTCTTTCCTTTTGCTTAGAGTTTAGAATCAAAGAAACACAGAATCACCTGGGTTGGAAAAGATCTTCAAGCTCATCCAGTCCAACCGTTCCCAGCACTGCCAAGGCCACCACTAACCCATGGCACTGAGGGCCTCATCTCCACAGTGTGTAAACACTTGCACGGACGGTGACTCCAGCCCTGCCCTGGGCAGCCTGTTCCAATGCCTGAGCACCCTCTGGGGAAGGAATTGTTCCTCAGCTCCATCTAAACCTGCCCTGGTGCAGCTTGGGGCCGTTTCCTCTTGTCCCATCCCTTGCTCCTTGGGAGCAGAGATCAGACCAACCCCACCTCACTACAGCCTCCTGTCAGGCAGTTGCAGACATCGTTGTTCCTGCACCCAGGGAATATTTGCAGGACATTTTGATAGAGGTGACCAGATTTAAACAAAGGCAGCATTTGGGTTTTGGGGAGCTGGTGGTTAGTGTGGGGATTTCTTTGTTTGGTTTGGGTTTTGGGGAAGTGTTTTTGCTGTAGTTTGGTTTTTGGGTTGGGTTTTGGGGTGGGGTTTTTTGTACCTAGTAGATTTTGGAGAAGACCCTGGATTTTAATCACAACCTCCTCATCTTCCACCATTTGGAAAGCAGACTTTTAGAACAAGATTATCTGTGGAATTTCTTCAGCTGTTTGAGTTAGGCCAGAACATTTGCTCAGGAGATGAAGCTGCTGGCTAAGACAACCAAGGGAGGACAAGATTCCTCAAGGACAGCTTCCTGGGACTTCCATTTGTTTAAATAACTTGGAGAACTGGCTGTGAGTTTAACTACTTCTAGCTCAGACCGCCTCCCCCTTTTAACCAATATCAGTCTTTTCATCCAGCCTTAACTATCTAAATAAATGATAAAGTAGTAGCAAGCCTCCAAAGGCCATGCTTACTAGTTTCATCATATGAACCGTGTTTGCAATGCTGACCACTGAATTCATGAAATATTTCATTCATGTTTTATACCATAGCCAAGAAAGTGACCAAAATAGTGAAGTTCCACTGCCAGTGCTCATGTTGACGGACTTCTCCACTCAAAAAGCGTATTTCTGAGAGTATTTATCTACTATTAGATAGGCTTGGCTCAAATACACTCTTCTACTTCAAATAGAAGGATAAAATACTTGATTTATTGAAAATACACTAGTTCCACCCCCCAAAAAAGTCCCATGCAGGGAAAAAACAAACCCAAAACCCAGCAACAAGCACTGCAATTAGACTATCAATAAATGTTGACATAGTCATCTGGGAGACAAACCATACAGTGACTAAATTTATTCCAGCAGCTGGGGAAAGGACAATACATGTGGTTAGAAGTGGTCTGTCTTGATTTCAATGAGTGCTGAAAACAAAACCACAGGGAGATACTGAGCAAAGTTTCTATTTTCAACCTGAGAGCAAAGTGAGTATCAGCCTTTTTCAGACTCCATCAGTTACTCTCCTAAATCACATAATGCTGCATACTATCACCAACACGTGACGCTACAGTAACATACTGCTCTTTGAATCCGAGCCATACATATACAGAAATGAAAACAACGTAATCCCAGCAATATTTTGCATTAAAAATTGGAAGAAAGTACTGAAAAGTCTGTCCTGCTAAAATCCAACTTCTGTCATAGGGAAATGAACTTCATCACTTGCAGAAAAACCCCAGATTGGCTGCTCTGAAAGCACTGAGATAGTAACAGACCGGACTGATTTCTTATCACAGTGCCTCCCTAACTGCCAGGAAGACTTATGATAGTTCATTCTTCCAATCCATTCCACGTTCCCATTTTAACAGAGTATCTATAAGAGCATTTCTGGACATCTGTCACAGTTCGAGCAACAGATCAGATAGGAAACGCACTGGACACAAAACAAATCAATATGAGAATTCACTGTGTTAAAGTTCAGTCAGAAGTGACCTAGAGGTGTATTCAAGCTGCTGCTGTGCACATCTGCATGTTATGACTCAATGAGCTGCAGTAAAACTAAACCTAATACTTTAAACTTAAAGGGATACCACAGCAAAAAGTTGTGTCTGGCTGGTAGGAAACTATCAAGCTACAACTTAGGTTATCATCACTGTTTTTACTCGGCTCTCTAAAAGAACTGAAGCTTATAGCCAAGTACAAGGTGGGAGAAAGCTACTTTTGAGTCCTAAGCATGCAACCTGGCACCCACCAGCAGGACTTCACCACCTTACACTGCACTCCCTGGGCTCCGCTCCACTCCACCTTACATCAGGCCGTGTCCAGACCCTACTTTCAAGCTCCCAATCCGATCTGTAGCAAAGAACACCGTGCAAAACCAGTAAATCCCACTGTGAAGTCTGGAAGCCACTGGCAGCAAGGGTGCTACTCCTGCCACCCCGTTCAGCATCCAAAGCAACTGTTTTCCTGCCAGGAGACACGGTTCATGGCCCATGACAGGACGGGGAGCAGCTGAGGGCCTGCACCCCTCCGAGGTCAAGGCGCGGTGAGAGGACCCAGCCCTTGGGGCCCCTGGGACCGACACGGCCCCCGCGCAGCCTTCCCGCACCACGGCAACCGGGCGAGCTCAGACTCAGCCCTCGACCTGCCCGGCGCGGAGGGACACAGAAGGGGACGGCGCTGGGTGCCGACCCCTCACATCCCTCAACCGCCCGGGGCGAGAGGCAGAGCGGTGCCCAGTCCAACCGCCACGGGCCGCGGCTGCCCCGGCATGGCGGTGCGCAGCGGCCACAGCGGAGAGGCACTTCCTAACGCAGTCAAACTTTGCCGGTGCTCCCGGCCCGGCCTCCTCCGCTCGGCGGCAGCCGCAGCCCCCTCCCCGCTACCGCCAGCCGCACAGTCCCGGCAAGGGCGCATAGATACCTCAATGTCCACCGTGTCCCGGCTCAGCACACGAGCCATGGTGTCCGCAACGTCACCGCCTTCCCCAGGCTCCCCGCAACCCCGGAGTGGAGCAGAGCGCGGGTGGAGGCGGAGCCGACAGCCCGGACAGCAACGCCCAAGTGGGCGGGTAGAGCCGCGCCGGGCAGGGCCGGGGCGAGACCAGGGGCGAAGGGAGCGGATCGAGCGCGGCCCCGGCCCTGGGAACGGGCGCGGCGCTTCACCGAAACCCCGCCAGCGGCCACGGAGGGGGAGGCTGGGGCTCGGCTGTGGCTGCCCAAAGGGCGGGTGTCCGTGCCCCGGTGGCTCGCTGTAGCCCCATCTCGGTGCACACGCACACCACAGCCGCCTCCGCCACCGCTCACCTCGCTTCCTCACAGTGGAAGGAGGTTCAGGGCTAACCGTCAGGTCTCTCTTAAGTCTTTGCACCCAAACATTGCAGTCATTTAGTTCCACAGACACAATATTTGGGTATCACCAAAATATACATTTCCACTGCAACATACCCAGAAGTTCTACCTTAGAAACCAGCTAACACCATAACATTGATTCCTAGACAGCACTTCCAAGTAGCCACATGCATGATCCCCCAAAATATGAGAGCTTTTCTTCCCATTTCGCAATAGAGGAGCTTTAATGAAGACCGATCTTTGATTTTTCCTAGTTGCATGCCAGACAACTTCTTGCATTCTCAGATCTGGTCTTTAACATGCTCTTTACAGCACTCACTTTATCCAGTTAGCTTTCATTCTCCCTTCTTTATTACAGCTTAAAAAGTGTTTAAAAAGGGGTGGGGGCACTTCCCATTCTTACTTACTTTATGAAAAGCCTGACAAAGTCTTAAGTAGCTTCTGGACACTGATTTGGGTGCAGTAGGGAACAGGTTTTGCCTTTTCTCTTCCTTTCCTGTCTCCAGAATACCTTTTACAGAATAGAAGGGAAATTTTTCTTTGCTTTCTAAGTATTTTATTTCTTCCCATCTCTGTAAATGAGCCCTTTCTTTCCAGGTGTCCAATGGAGACTTTCCCTGGTAATGTGGAGAAATAAGAGTGTGGTCTTTGTGTGCCTCAAGTGTAGGCAGAATAACCAGAAGCAGGATTCCCTCCATTGCTAGTACATATCTCCTACAAATCCAAGAGTCCTTGGTTCATTTCATTAGTATCAACACTGCTGAGTACCTCAGTGGTCTCCAATGCTAGCTGGGGAGTTTAGTTGTGTGTATATTGACTATACAAGTGCATTAGGCCTGTAAGTCATTTGCACAAGGAACGTTTTTGTGTATATGAAGTAATAAAGTACTTTGTGTCCACAGTTCGCATCCATATGTTCCTGAGAAGCAGCTACATTGGAAGAGACTAGCAGCAGTCGCTGGACTCTCCAGTTTCATTGTGTCCTGCCTGGTTTTCAGCTGTTAAAGGTAACAGCCTCTTGAGGAATCATGGAATCACCTGGGTTGGAAAAGACCTTTAAGATCAAGTCCAGCCTTCACTCCAGCACTTCCAAGGCCACCATTAACCTATGGCACTAAGGGCCAAACCTCTACCTTTTCACAAGCATCATCACACACCTCTTCTCCTTTGCTTTGCAAGTTATAAATCCTTGGTTTCCTCCCATGTTTTCTACCAAGCCAAATGAACCTGCCACCTGTAGGATTTTTTGCCATGTAGAGCCAGTAAATAGTAACACCATTTAAATTCTATGGCAATAGCAATTTCCAATCCAAATTAAGCAGGACTTACTCTTCCAGTAAGTACAGGTCAGAGAATGGGATTCAGCCGTACCCTTGTGGTTGAAAACCTCCCAGTTTGTGTTTCTAGGTAAAGGGGGCTTCTCTTATTTCCCCTTCCACACATTTCTCCTGGGGATCAACTTACTGTCTGCAAACCGTGGCAGCCAGCCAGTCTGTGTCAGCCTGCTGCACTTTGCCAGCTTCCCCCAGCAGTCTGGGAGGGATCAGCCTTCTGATCTCTGGACTCTCAGCTGTGGCAAATAGTGCTCTTATCAGCACTGAGCATCTGTACAGCTGAAGTTTGTTTCACGAGATAAATGAGCACAAATAGGGAGACATGCACAACATCCATAAGAACACAAGTATTCCCACTTTTCTAAAGCAGAAGTTATATGAAATTTTAATAAGAGTCATGTTACACAGCCTAAATATAGTTTGGGCTTTTTTCCCCTGAAGAAGTGCTAAGCCTCTGATTTTATTCTTTCTTAACCACCTCCCTTCATCCCTGCAGCCCCTCAGCAGGGTTTTGAAAGCAGCAGAAACAGCAGTGATGCTAAAGACCTTTCATTTCTGGCATGAAATGTTGTGAAGGCTTGGTTGAGTTATAGCTTTTTGAAAATTGCCATTAACCTTTTGTTCCTTGTGCTCTTCAGGTAAAATTTGCTCATATGCCAAAGAAACAGCTCCAAATGAACTTTCTTTGAGAGCCTCCAGGCACTCACTGCCACCACAGCAGCAACAGCCTTGTGCTGGAAGGGCAGAGCTGGGCAGCAGGCAGCGAGCAAGGCCATGCCCTTTGAATTCAAATGGTTGCAGAAACACAACCTGCAATCTGAAAGAAAAGATTCCTCTGCCAGCCATTGCAGTAGTTAATCTGCAAGTTTAAAAGGGTAAACTGTAAACTCTAAAAGTTTGGCATTCAAATTCTGGCAGCAATGTATTAGGGAGCCTAAAGGTCTTCGTGTACTGACATTCCATACAAGCAAGTCCCCACTTCTGCCTCACAACTGCCTCTGATTCACATCAGTCCAAGCACTAGAAAGACAGGACATTCCAAACTTCAATTTGCTGTGCAGTTGTAACTTGGACATTGGGCCTTTGATCATATACTTTTTATTCCCAGACCAGTTTCCTCACTCATTGTATGTGATGAAGAGTGATGGTTACAGTCTCAGAGCTAGCATCTCCCGGCATCTGATTTGGCAATCCAGATTACTCACAACACTTAAGCAACTTAATCTGTCAAATTCATGGGATTCACGAAATCCTGAAGTGAACCCAGGTTGCTCTTTACCTTTGAGCACCTCACTATGACAGTTTATTTTAGTTACTTGCTGCTTCTGACATCTCAGTTTGGCTTATGAACTCTCGAGTACAACAGTGTAAAGATGATATATCCAGTATACAAAAGGTCCAAGAGAAATGGGATTAGCAAGAAAATTCCATGAAGATGACAAGCTACGTCTGAAGGCTCTCAACAGCTTTTCAGATGTTAGATTGATTTCTTCCCTTATGCTAGGAGTTGCAGTAGTAACGGTGGTGACTTTGCCAGTACAATGCAAAGCACTATTAAAGTTGAAAGAAGTAGCTCTGCTGATTAGAGTGCCAGGTTCATCAACTGCAAAGACACATGGACACATGTTGCATGTCTTAACTCCACTGAAGGAGGAAACATGTACATGTGAAAAATTTGAAGTGTGAGGAAGACGGTGCTGCTGAATGGTCCATAAGTGAAGACCCATAGAGTAATAGTGCTATGCTTTGTCCTCCCTCATCCTAATCCAGTCCAGGGGGGATTGGAATTGAAGAGTTAATTTGAGAAGCTTTGCTCTCACAGCCTCTCCTAAACTTAAATAGTTTAGTGATGGACTTGGCAGTCCTGGGGTAAAGGTTGGACTTGATGATCTTGAAGGTCTTTTCCGACTTAGCTGATTCTATGATTCTATGTAGCAGCACTGATGTTGAAGTATGTAGTTACAACTTCATGGGTTTCTTCACTGATTTAGGGAAAATGCTCAATTTAGAACATTCACAGTACTGAAGTTTACATTGTCTTTCTAATCTGCTTGGTTGCAGTTGGATTTGCACCAGTTTCCAGAAAGAGTAGCTACACAGGATAACCCATGGTTGGCCGCAGCACAGGAGTACAAATGAGATATACATAATAATAAAAGTCCATTAAGAGGAAACTCTGACTATTACTCAGACATAGCCTTTGGGCATGGAATCGTAAAGCACAACTAGATGAATAAATAACAGAAAATGGTCACCATGTGAGTTTTGAGAAGTGTCCAAATGCATTTTAAACTAAAATGAACTGTTCTTTAGTGAGTCCACTAATTTATTCCAGCCATCTGTGTCAGCGTAAACAAGAGCTTGTCTCCTAAACCGCTTCATGTTTTTTTTAGATGTAGCAAGAACCACAAGTTTCAACATGATCATCTTGGAGGAAGAAAAAAAATCATCAAGAAAGAACCCACATATTTTCACACCACAAACATCTTTTGATAACTACTATCGTGCAATTCAAAAAAATATTAAAAAGTAAAACTTGTTTCTGGCATAACATAATGTTTTCCTATTTAAATTCCACCAAATGTTTCTTTAGGATATTTTAGGGGATGGAAAAATCTGTCTGCTTCCCCACCCCCCTCCAGTCTCCAATGTTGATATGTGTAGACAAACCCTGTATTTATTAATAAGCTTGAGAACTGCTGAATTGATGCCCTGGGTTTGCCCTGGTCTGAGAGTCTTTTCCCTGTATGAACCTCAAATTATTTTCAGTCTCTTAATGTGCTTCCCATGCTGGTGGTCCTTAGCTAGGTAGAATAGTCAAGAAATCTGAGTGTTTAAACTAAAAAGTGTCCACATTTATGAGTCTTCCCTGGATAAAAGCAGCTATAGACCTCAGATTAAGATGGGACTTGGGAGCGTTGAACCTGGGGAAGAGAAGGCTGAAAATAATTTACAGGAAGAGTATGCTGGACTTAGTTTTAGAGATACTGGGCAGCCATAAAGTTACATCAGATCAAATCAGCCTTTCTGCACACAAAACAAAAGGAAGTCAAATATAGGATTTGAAAACTTGAAATCATATTGATAAGTGGATAGACTCCACAACTCGTTAAAGTTGTAAAGTAGGTATGCTTTTATTCAGCGCTGAGACGCATGGGATAGTTCCTCCAAAGGCATGCGTGCCTCAGTGTTGTTTCCCTCTACATTTATTCTCTAAAGTTATACATATCAATATCTCATAGTTGTGGTGGTGGAAGGGGGCGTCACATTCATCTCTCTCAGCCCCAGGTGTTAGAAGGAAGGGGTGTTCCTTCTTTCCCAGGCATACGCACATCTGGGATGAGAAGAATGAAAACAAGTTTGGTTTTAGAGGATCAGACCATTTGTGCTCAGGTCTTCTCCATTACATTCTTTGCCTCTTCTGTATTCCATGTGGCAGCAAGTTTCTGGCAAGGGTAAGGTCTGCCTTTTGAAAAAAGGCATTTCATTATGTAGCAGTGAAGTAGGACAAACTGATACCCAGTTCACTAGAGATTCCTCTACATGTCAACTGGCTGCTGTCCGTACAAACTTACCTTCCAGCCATTTTTCCTCAGTGCAGAGGTCTCCAAATCTCCAACAAGTCAGACTGCCAAGCTATTAGAGAACAGGTTTACTACATACCTAACTTCTGGCAACAGCAAGTGTTTCTCCATTCAGATCATAGAATCCCAGGCTGGTTAGGGTTGGAAAGGACCTTAAGGTCATCCAGTTCCAACCCCCTGCCATGGGCAGGGACACCTCACACTAGACCATGTCACCCAAGGCTCTGTCCAACCTGGCCCTGAACACTACACCAGGGATAGTAGTGAATTCACCCCTTCCAACAGCAGCAGGGGCATCAGTAGGAGATCAGCAATATTTTTTTTCCAGGGTTTCTGTAGTTTTGTTGCTTTCCTGAGATCCTGACAAGGTAAACTGGCCTGTTGAATGATCTACAGCATGCTACCAGTTTCTACTATGGATGTCTGTAGTTGCCGCAGAACTGGTTTGAACTTTGATAGCTTTGCAAATCCCTCACAAAACATACGTTTTATAAACTGTGGCTACTGGTTGGTTTTTAAATTACTGTTTTGTAGAGAAAAATGCCACCAGATTAACATCCTGCAAACAAACATGATGTGTTTTGATTGGTCTTATTTAGTAGTTCAGAAATAAAAGAATGGCTTCATGTTTTCCTAGAAGAAATAACAATAAGTGGTGCTAACTCAACTTAAGTGTACTTAAGCCTTTGTGTCCACAATACACTCATTCTTCTCATGGCTCAGACCAGCAGTTCTAGGCTAGGTTAGCACCTTTTAACACCTTCAGCTGTGCCCTGTGACCAAACAAAGAAATCTGACAGTCATTGCATTGTCTGTTATGAAAGTACTAATGACAACACTACAAAAGAAGACCATATCAACTGATGGGAGCTATATGCTAGCCTCATCAAAAGCAAAGCCAACTTGGTAGGCACCTTTACCAGAGAAATCTTAGGGTTTTTTTAGTTTTTGCTAAAAGCAAAACAAGAATAGACTTACCATGTCTGATTTTATACTGTGAACACTTTTCTCCCTGGCATAGGTGTAACACACGGCATTCCCAGAGGCCTGTCTCTTTGCTTGCTTAGAGGTGACAATTTACAGGTGGGATGAGTTGTTTCACTGTGTAAGAGCACATATGAATTTTATATTAACAGACATCTTCTTATTTAGTTCTTATAGTACACAAAAATGAATATTTTATTGTTCATGTTATTTAAATAATAATATTACAGCCTTTTAATATATTAACATAATTTTCTAAGAGAGGCCACTGTCTTCTTCAGGTCTTTACAGTGCTCTGTGTAGCAGACCACAACTATAACTTGGGGTTTATAACAGCCATCAACACCAACAGACACAGGTAATTAACTTGGATATTTTAAGATAAGCAAGAAATACTGCTGGAGAAACACTGTTTTATGGTGCTTTACCTTCCATAAATAATTGCTGTAAGATAACATAGTGCTTGGGCTGGAAATGAAGTAGAAGCTTCCAAAGCACTAACCAGTACGTCTTTTGTACTATAACTTCCAGCAAATAGGGCAAAAAGAACAAAATGTTGACTATGTTTTCTGTGGGGCAGCTCAAGAAAATCTCTTCCCTGCCTTGTCACAAAGCTGACTCTTACCCAGGACCTATACACTCCGTAGAAGAAATCTGATTTCCACTTATAAGTGTCAGGTGTGGGTGTAGCCGCCAGCTGTTGGTATCAGATGATGGATAAAGACTATCTCCAACCTTGGTTGTTGGCTCAAGAACTGAAACTTAGATAATATGAATGACTTGTAGGACATCCCTATGCCCTTGCTAAACTGCTAGGCTGATAGCAAGCTAGTCATCTGTCTTGGACTCTTTTGAGCCTATTTTACTGCTTCAGAAACAGCTACCTTTACAATCAGCAACAGTTATTACCTTCTTGGCAAGGGGGAAATGAATAGGAGGAATTAATTCCTACCCAAGGTCCTTGCAAAATATGGGCAAGGCGTTAATTCACTGCCACCCTAGCCTAAGGTAGCAATTGTCAATAGCACAAACAGGCTGCATCATCATTTTCACTCTAATTTAATCAAGGTCATATTAGATCACTACAGCAAATCAAGCAGAGTCAATTTGATAAAAAATAAATCTGAGCTAAACCAGTTTCCTTCTGGAAATTAACCCTTTATCACAAACATTACCCATCGATGCAGACCATCTTATTGCCACTGAAAATGACTACTGCTATATAGCACTGTGCTTTAATAAAATAAATCTTCTTCCAACAAATAAACCAAGATTACATTATCTAATCTCGTGCCTGAATTTGTAGATTTTGATCAGATTCAAAACTTAATTTCTTGCTTTTATTTATGTTGCCTCCAAAACTATTACTTCTACCTCTTTTTACCTACCACTAGCCCCCAAATACCAGTTGCCCTTATGATACCTTTCCTAGACAAGTGTCTTGCACACACAATGCTATCATTTCTCTGGCCCATCTATCATTGCACACAGTATTATAGTATCAACCAGGTTGTAAAAGACCTTTAAGTCTCACACAGAAAAACAACCCCTTTCATGGAACCCTGAAGTGTATGCCTCACCAAAAACGTGCTGTATTATGCTGGGCGCGATTTGTCACATGCAAGGTTAGATCTTAAGTAAAAATAACAAAAAAAAAAACCCAACCAACCAAAAACAATAACAAAAAAAAAAAGGTTAAAAGTCTTCATGTTTTCTTGCTGGTGTTTGGTTGGGGGGGGGAGGGGGTGTTACTTGTTTGTTTGAAGAATATATTCAGCCAAGCTCCTTCTGCAAATCTGGACCAGTTATCCCTTTTGTCATTGCAGCACCTAGACATGCAAGTTTTTACTTTAACTGCATCATAATCTATTGTTACAGCAACTTTTGCCTAAGCTGCATCACACCTTCCTGCAGAATGCCTGCACTTAGGTGGAGTACAGCCACCACAGCAGGGGAGGAAAGAGCTATCTCCACCTGGCTGGGATGCATGGAGATGCGGAGAAGGGGACATATATAGTCCTTTTAGCCCACACAGCAAACTTCTGCTTCGAACATTCCCAAAACTTGAAGGATCCCTCCCCCGTGCCTCATAGCACCTACATCCAGAGCTTCTATAGCCAAAACAGGGCTCTTTTTTTTTTAAGCTTGTCAAATACTGACGATGAGATCATAGGTAGATGCAGACTTGTCATTTCACACCTATTGCAGAGGGAACCTGTGTCACCGTCACTGGCTAGAAAAGGATTTAAAAGGCCTTTTTGTTTTTTATCCTTTCTCAATCACAGAAGAAATTAGTCCTCATCATATAAAACTACTGTAAATACCAAAGTCAATGGAGCTATGACAATTAAGATTGACTAAGGAGCATCCCCCTACACACACACAGCCAGACCTGCAGTTGAACCATGTTGTAACAGACTGGCTGGCCCATCTGTTTGTTACGCTTGTTTGTTATTTTCCCATCATATACTTAAACTGTCATCTCTGGGTTTGGGTTCTATGCTTTGCAAGTGCATGCCAGCCATTTAAGGATTATGAGCTCCCCCCATTAAAGCCATGGTAACACAATTTCCCTTGGAGCTGATTTTGCACTGCTTGAGTAATGTGACACTGAGCAAGTACTACTTGCTGCAGATGTAGGTTGTAATCTTGCGAGGGACAAGCTTTGGTGTCAGCAGGATTAATGTGGAAGGGTGCAGGCTGTGGCAGGGAGACGGAGCTGGCTTTGCTGCTTCTAGTGAGACTGTTTTTCCTCTTAAGTCTCTACCTCCATCTCCTACTGCTTCCACAGAACAAAACGAAGAGGGGACTAGTAAATGAGAAATATTTATGACTAGCTAGAACCTCAAAGTGTCTTGGAATAGGAGTAATATACTTGCAAAAAAAAGGTAATGTAAATTCTATAAAAAAAACTTAATTTTTTGGTAAACTATGTCATAGGGCTGTTGATTTTTTATTTCCCTTTAAGGTTGAAATAAAGCACTCAAACCCCAAAACGCATAGAACCCCTTTGGCCAAAACATACTCAGTTGGAAGAGAACACAGTTTGCCATTTAAAATTCCTCCAACTTCAGTTATTTATGTAATTTTGGGCTCTATCTGCAGATTGCGATTTTCAGTTTCAAAATCAGTTATTTTTCCTACCAACTATAAGATGTTGTATTTTACCACCCACATATTGTAATGAACCACAAGTTGAAGACTTGAGAATCTGTATAGTGATGAATTTGTCATTCCCTTCTGCCCGTGGTTGAAGGGATTTATTCTCTTTATTAATTTTTTTCAAAGCCTATCTAACATTGCAGAAAGTCTGGCTAGGTGTTTGATGATAATTAGCTAGAAAATTAGCCTGCTAGAAATGTTACTCATCAAAATACCATTGAGTCCTAGGCAGATTGCAAACCTCTGGTGGAAAGTATCCCAGAGACAGACGACTTGGTTGCATCAGGTTTAAATTGCATCAAGTATTGATTAACGTCTCTCTCAATTAACTATTGCCAACTTTAAAGGTAAACCAGACTGTTCATATGCCTGTCATTTTAAGAGATCATGTAGGGACAGATTCTCAATTATGTTAGGGTTCAGTTGTACTAGTCCACAGGAGCCCAGAGAGGCTGCTAAGATAATGGTTGCTGACCATTCTGCCACTAACACAGTGCCCATCAGCTGTGCCTTGTCTCCTCCATAGCAGCAAAGGAGCATTCATCATAGCACCCTTCCAGTATCTGAAGGGGGCTACAGGGATGCTGGAGAGGGACTCTTCATTAGGGACTGTAGTGATAGGACAAGGGGTGATGGGTACAAACTGTACCAGGGGAAGTTCAGGTTAGATCGAAGGCAGAAGCTCTTCCCTGTGAGGGTGCTGAGGCACTGGCACAGGGTGCCCAGAGAACATGGCAGTGTTCAAGGCCAGGTTGGACACAGGGGCTTGGAGCAACCTGCTCTAGTGTGAGGTGTCCCTGCCCATGGCAGGGGCTGGGAACTGAACGATCTTAAGGTTCTTTCCAACCCAGACCAGTCTGGGATTCTATGAGGCAGAGTAGGATACTTATACACAAGCTCAGCATCAGGGAAATGAAGATTAAAGCCCCTTATGCAGCTTCTTTCAGGACGGCAGCATGTGCTTTGCATTCTCCAGTTTAAATACATCTAGTTTAAAAAGTACACAGTTTATCTCTATCAAAAAATTCTATGTCTGCCAACATCATTATCTGGTGTTCTGTTTGCTGAAGGTCATTCATTATTTGTGATAATCTGTTGTTTGCAAGACACAGTACATGTGCATAAATCAAGGCGTTCATTGATGACACTTTGAGGGGTTCATTTTGCCCAGTCACCTACAGTTAGCTTCAGCAAAGCTTTGTGTCTCCCAGTGAAGAAGTCTTTAGGCATCCCAAACAAAGGGACAAACAATTTCTTCTCCAATGGGAAAGCTGCTGCATATGGCATGAGCCCACAAGGATGCCCCTTTGCGTTAAGATTTGAGCCATCCTTTGGATCACTCTAGATAGCCTTTGACTAAACAAGCTGTCAGGTCCCACCAACTTCAAGGAATGTTTAAAAGAACGTGGTGTATGAAAGGAGTTCAAAACATCAAGTACTATATCACAAATGGTTCCTGTTAAGCAACTACTGAAACAGTTAGAAAGAAGTGTGCATCTCTCAACTTCAGAGCAGCTACAGTGAATGGAGTTTTACAACCCAAAGTACAGTTTTAGCCAACAATTTCAATACAAGTAAGAGCAACACATGCCCCTTACAACACTTGCCCACAAAGCCTGTGCACCAAGGACTGAGACCAGAAAGCCCAAGGTGCAGACGGAAGCCTGCTCATGGAGCAGAGGGAGCTGTACACACAGAGTTTCCCAAAAGGAGACCTTTAAACCTGCTGCAAAGTCATAAATAGACACTGGACCCATTTATGTTACTGGTAACTTCCCTGAAGACAGAATGAATTCAGTTTGTTTCCTTGTTTTGGTCATATAGAACAGTAAGTGTAGTTTCATCCCAACGTGTACCTGAAGTTCATTGTATCTGAACTTCAAGGATGTGCATTTATTCCATAAAACAGTGATACTAAATAGAAATGTGAAGGAAAGTACTTAAAATACAAGTCTGTTTGGGCCAAGTTTTACTATTAGAACATCTTGATTCCTATTTGAGGAGCTGAGCATCTGAAGTTCCTGCAATACAGAAATTACTTCTATTATCAATTTACACTGAACAGGAGGGTTTGTGGGGGTTGGGGATTTTTTCTTTGCACCTTTATGGTTTTATAAATGAATTAAACCTGCTGTTCAGAGCACAGATGTCCTAAATCAAAGTATTTAGTCACTGGATATATCAGCAACTTTAAACCATTGCATCTACTTGTGCTCTTCATACCTCCCCAACTAACCGTACCGTAGGATGTTTTGCAAAGAGAGAAGTGTGGGAGACCGTATAAATAACCAGAGCGTGCCTTATGCTTTTCTCCTCAACTCTCTTCCAACTCTTTGCTACAGGCTGTCACGCCTCCTCTTTCTCTTTCCACTCTGCTTTTACTATCTCGGAAAGTTAGTCAGACCTGTTTTGAAGTGCCACAAACACACTGCTGGGGCTGCACGTGCTGCTTTGGTCTGAGCTTCTGCCTGCAATACTCCTCTCCCCTTGTTTTGTCACCCTTTCCCCTTGTCTCCATTCTGCCACCTGTTCTTCACCCTCTCTTCTCACTTGCCCTTTTTACCATGTGGAGCTTTTGCTTTTAACTCCGTCACAGCACCAGGAGCCTCTTTTTTTCCTTATTCCTCTGTGATGAATAGTTTACATTTGAGTATAAACTCAATCAATTTTTGTTCATTTTTAGGCAGACTGTGGCTGCTTTTGTAGCACTTATTTGAGTAAATAATGGGTCTGCAGAACACAAAACCGGCTTTGAAACCAAAGTCAATCTTAAGATGCTAAGGAGAAGAGTGACCTTCTGTCTGATTGATCCTGAGTCTTAGGGGATGGTCTACATCTGCTATGAGTTGGAACTCTCCTCCTGCTTGGAGGAAAGCCAGAGCACTGGAAAAGAGGAGTTAAAAAAAAGGGGAAAATCATAACCAAATATCTTTTTGATAAAGATGCTTTAAAATGAATGAAGTGAATTAATGAAATTATTCAAACAGCAATGCAGGATGCATTGTGGTCCTTTCCACCCAGTTTTCTCCTAGGTGGTTTCACAATTTCCAAGTAAATAAGGTAACAGGGAAATATTTTTAATAGGGGAAATGTATTTCCTTTCCCCATCTCTGTGGGTGAGCACTAAGAAGTATTTTTTTCAAATCACATTATGTTGCATTTTCATCTCACATTAGCTCGAGTGCTGCATCAGGGTGTGAAGATAACATAGTGTAACACACCATGAACTTCTTTTGCTCCATAAGGAATTACAGTATATGCTAAACTGTTGTTAAAAACATAGGAATTTGAGCATCTACAGGACTTGTGATTGGAATGCCTTAAGATGGTTCCTATTATTACATGTTCTGAAAAGAATGAACTAATCCTCTCTTTATTAAAAGAAGGATGAAGAAGAAAGCCGAAATGATTATAAAGTTAAGCATCCAGCAACTCAGCAGTCAAAAGTCAGCCTGTCTCTAGCAAAATCAGTGCAAATCAATACTGATTAAGACTTTGGCCCAATATTGACAGGCAAAACCAGCAAATAAAGCCAAGAGGCAGATTCATCAAAGGGACTTGCAGATACAAATAATAATCTTCATAAAATTAAAAAGGAGAATGACTGTAACAAATGGGCATAGGCACACAGGGATACTGTTCGATACAAAAAAGGAGTGGGTGACTTCTTTCTAGTTCCTCAAAAAATGTAATGGTGCAAGGACTAGTGAGGTGAGAAGGGAAATATTTCTTTCTTATGACTTTTATGTTACATGCACCATTGAGATCATGCGTTCTCATGCGTCATTACTATGCTCTGATGGCAGGCACCATGAAAGTTGAAAAAAGTTAAATCCCAGCCTCCTTAAAACAGTTGCAAAACTTACCTCTAGAATTAAGGTCCTTAAATCAGTAAGATTCTAGCAGAAACTAAAGAAGTGATTAAGGGGATCCTAACATTGTAGCACAGATCCATTAATCCTTCTAGTAACTTCTCAACAGTGTAAAAAACCTTTGGCTCAGCAAAGAACTCTTCTTGCTCCCACTGAGCTCTCTAAGCCTTTTGCCCTGCTAGACACTAATCGATTTCATTGAGAACAGGTGATCTTAAATTAAGCAAATTTAACTCCAATTCATGTCCATCTATGGCAAAAGCTTAACAGAAGCAGCAAGTGTTTCAGAAGCCAGATTTGCTCCAACCTCACCCTCCCCTGAGGTGGAGTGGATGATACAGCACAAGATGAAACTTCAGCTTTTGCCTTTTTGGGGAGTAATTTTTAGAGTTGTGCAGGAAGGTAAGACCCTCTGTGATTTCCTGTTGCAGTCTGTCCTTTGATCTAAGGGACCTTGGTTCAGAGGCTTGCAGGCAACACAGAGCTTTCATGCAACTAGTGCGCAATAAAGCAGCTGCACATCCCTGACTCATCACCTTTAAAGCAAGTGTAGGCAGCATGAGGATAGATCCAGGTGACTGTGGGAGTCGCCACCACTGTGAGCCAAGTGAATGCTCTGCAGCTGTTCTTTATGTGTTCTTCCCCAGTTCTGCCCCCAGAACCCAGTGGAATAATGTGGACTACAGTATCCCTCTGTGGTTGTACAGGGAGGTAGCACCCATTGGTTCTTCCTGCATTGTCTTATAAACTTCATAGTCATTCATTGAATGAAATTATATAATAGGATCCATCATCATTTACTTCCCATTTGTGGAATTTCTGTGTTACAACCCTACAAACAACATCTAAGAGCCCCTGTTTGCCATCTTTCTAATAAAATAAAGAACTAAGTGTGGAAAGTTTTTAAGAATAGCACAAGTGGTTTGTTTCATGCAACATAGCAGCAATTATTTTACCAACTGCTTCTTAATCTCATAGATTTGGCTATAGTTGCACTTGTATAACCTGTACACTGTGATACCTGAAGCATCCACTTTTCTTTACTTTTGCTTCTTTCACTGTGTAATAAAAACATGATCACTAAAAATTCCATATGTAGACTGGGCAAACAGCCTTAGAAGTGTTGCTTTTTGGGGTGAACTTCATGTTTAGGTACTGCATAACATGGTCATTCCTGGTCTCCAAGTCCATGGGATTTCAGAACCACTCTGCCTCCCCTCCGGATTGCCATGTGGCAGGCAATTGAGAAAGCCATAGTGAATAATTAGGAATGGCCCCTTGTGCCAGCACTTTTCCTATATTTTATTTCTTCATTTAAGGAATATTACAGATACACAACCAAAATATGACACTGTTCATCTGGTATCTTTGGCATAAAGAGAAACCGTGAATTAAGGCTTTCTAATAAATGCCATAAAATGGATTTCTTGAGCAGAATAATGTGTTACCTATGGGTAATTTCCCATTAAAGTAGAGATTATAATTCTGATTAGACATGGATATTATCTTTTCCAGTATGTTTCTGTCAATGCACTGATTCAGCAACCATTTAGACCCCAAGGTCAGGGCTGTTCATAAGTCCCATTGATTTCAAAGTTGAATGTCTGCCCAAGATTAAACACAAAGAAGAATGCTTTCCTAAAGCAATTTATTTAACTATGTATGTAAGTGCTCTGTTGAATCAGGGCCGAAAGGCTTAGCAACAACTCGTGAAAGGTAATGAGTTTGGGCCAAATATGTGTGTTAGTAGCCAAAATGCATATAATGAGACAAGGAACATCATTGTTACTTGGATTTGAATCAAGATCCCCAAGTGTAAGCTAACCAGATCTTTAAATCGAATTTCTTTTGGAGCTTTGAGCTTAAATCTAAATGGTGAGACAGGTTACATGTACCTGTACATATTGGGGTGGCCCTTGGTTGTCTTCTGCCCTGCATCTAGATCTACTTCCCAGAGAAAGCACAATGCTAGCAGCAGAGACAGTGGCTGGCTGAGTTTATCTTGTAAGGATGGTACTGATGAGATACCTGAATCCAGAGTTGGGGAGGGTTCTGGACCCCACAAGCTCAAGGGTGAAACCCTTTTGTTCTGTGCAGTGTCTTCAAAAAGAAGTTTATTTTGAGTTTCTGTATAAAGGAAGTAGAAAGTCATCTTAACAAACACAGGAGATGATGGATTTGACAGAGTACAATGCAGATCAAAATGGTTTTAATCATTACCCCCTGTTTTAATTACTACTTGACACATTATCTGTATTGTCCTTCTACAAGTCTCTCTTTTTGAGTGAAATATTAAAGGCGAGTCACAGCTGAATATATATGCAGTCTAGGAAGAAAATGGCTTTGAACTATTTGAAATGATTTATTGTCCGCACTTCTTTATGAATATTTATTCGCCATCGTGAAAGCAATTCAATAAAGAGAAAACATGAGGACCAGTTAACGGAACATTTGCATACTCTAACAGCTCAAAAAAGGGGAAAGGAAAATAATCTGGTGCATTAGAATGGTGTTAATGCTGTGGTTCTCCGCTTTCCTGTCGTTAGTTCCAAATATTGCATGTGTGAGAGCAAAAAGCTAAGGCCAAGGCTCTTAGGAATTCAGATCCTGAGAGGAGATACATAAATAGCCTGCAAATAAGTGTCCCTAACCTTTATATATTCCCATTCAGAAGGGAATAAATGTGTTTATGTGGGCATTTTCAAGGCTGGTGTGGAAACTCTGGTTTTGTTTCCATACTACTTCAGGTAGCTGGCTATGAAAGCTTGCTTTTAGCAGCAGTCATACATAATCCAAGTCCTCATCTTGTCAGGGCCAGAGATCACTCGTTCCTGATGCTCCCTGAAGAAGTGTGGCTATCAAAAGGAGACAGGAGCACACTGAGTATGTAAGCACGGCTGCACACACCAAGACCACACACACAGCAGAAATGTTGCTTTCCTGCACTCCTCAGTGGGGGAACACACTTTTTCATGGTACGTGCCCTCATTTCACCCTGCTTGAATTCATTTCATCGACCAGAAAGCACTATGCGTTAGACTTGGAATGAACTTTGTTCCTCAGAGCTTCTTAGCGCTATTCTGATACCCACTCACAGATGGGGCCTTGACAGATTTTCTACTGATTTTCATGATTCCTTTTTTCTTTATAGCTTTTTTTTTTTTTTTTAAGCAGGATTGTTGCTGCTTGAGAATTCAAATGCAAATGGAGATGTTCACAGGCACTGTTTTGTAAAGGAGCTCAGCTGGTTGGGGTTTAGAGCTCATAAACTGCATCGTATATCTCATGCAGTATGTGGGAAATAATCAACTTGATATATAATAGTTCTAGAGGAGGATGGTTACAGGAATAAAACACAGACTTTGGACAAATGTATAAATTCTCTAGGCCTCAATTTTCACTTCTTTGGAGCAAGAATGATAATAATAATATGTATTTATAGTAATAATTATCATTATTATCTACCTGAAAGCTAGCTGTGAGGCTAATTCATTAATACTTTCAAATTACTTCGTGATCCTCAACTAGAATTTGCCCTGAAAGTACTAAATATTATAATTTGCACTGTATGCCTATTTCATTCTGCTCTGGAGAAAAACACACTTAATGTGTTGCTCTCTTTATATTTGTCTACATACCACATTCTACAATTCGAGCTGTTGAGCTCTTCTAGAGGTTAGTAACAGGCACATTTTACATTAGCGTATTTTATGCTTATTTGTCCCTCTTTTGTCATATCATTTTCCCCCCACCTAGGAATTATGGTACCTCATTTGGGGGAGTTTTTACTGCTTGTACACATACTGACATGGAGACCTACGCTTGCTGTTTGTTTCCATGTCTGAATCTGGAGTTGCCAGTGGAACCACACATCAGTTCTCTGAGGTCAGAGCTCTCTTGATGTATGTTTTAAACATATTGTGAGTAGATTCATAGAATCATAGACTGGTTAGAAAGGACCTTAAGATCATCTAGTTCCAACCCCAGGGAGCTTCTCTAAGTTACACATAGACACTACCACATATTACATGTCTGATTATATTTGTAGGTATCTCAAAAGCCTGTCTTGTGGCAGTTTACCACGTCCTCCGTTTACTGGCGAAAGCGTATCAGTTGCTCACAACTGAAGACACCCAGATCCATTTCGTCTGGTTGTTATTTGTTGGATAGATAGACTCTACTGGTTGAAATCTATATCTACCAACATAAAAGCTGCAGGATATGACACTTCTATCTTGTGCTTCCAATCAGCCTCCTGATATTACAGCAGTACTCTTTATTTAAGTGTATTTCTACTGTGTTCAGCCTGCTCAAGCCCTGCACGCTGTTTTACATAGCATCTGTACATGGGGATAATTGAAAACTCAACACAGCCCAGAGGCAGATGCACAACACGACAGGAGTGGGCTGGGGCATAACTCAGAAGGATAAGACAAGCAGACAGCAGCAAGCAGGGCAAAGCCAGCCCCAGCAGCATCTCCACCAGAAGATGCTAGAAGCAGTTGCAGTGGGTCAGGGCCTGGTAGCTGTGGGTCCCGTGGGAACAGCAGAACTCCAGATGTTTCTTCTGCCATCACGGAGCCAAACATCTGGGAGCACAGAACATAGGCAGGGTGCGAGGCTCACCTGGAAAATCACATGGACAGATCAACACCAGATTCATGACCGTGCACTTCACTGACACTCCCATCCTCTGCATCCTTTTCAGGGCGGTTTCTGCTCCTAAAACACCATCTAAGCCAACATTAGCAGAAAATGGGCCAGATAGTATTTTTCTGGTGTTTCAGAAATGTAACATATATATCAATAAATGTCACTTGCTATTTGAATACTCATCATAAGAATTACTGAAATGACTGGAATAGGGCACAGTATTTCTTCCTATTAGCTTAAGTAGAAAAAAAAAAAAACAACTCCTGGAGTGTAAAAAGGAGAAAAGAAGCAATAATGAGAAAACAAGTTGTGGCATGAAGAAGAGAAGTATTTCTTGACTGTCCTCTTGGCTCTCTCTATGAAGATTTAATCCAGCAACCTCAGCCAAAAGTAGTTATTGGGTGTTTTTTATGTCTGGTCTACTTGTTCCAGGCAGGAGGGGTTTCCGAGAAGCACACAAATAGGTCTCTACAGTGGGAATCATGAGTTTTTTCATGTGAGCAGCACACCTGAGCTGAGGAGGCTGTTTGAAGGAGTTAGATGTGGCCCTACCTTGTAGCAGCATTTCCAGAAGTTGCCGACGTTCGGTTGTCCCCACACACTGAAGATCTGTGGCTTTCCATGGGTCATTTGGCATGATGAGGAAGGAAGATGGGCTAGTCCGGGAGACTTAGGCTGTAATATTGAGATAGGTTGAAACACTCCACCAGTTAGGGCTCTCCCTTAAAGGTATGCTGTTATAAACAGATGCCTAAAACCACCCAGGAGAGCAGGTCAGAGCAGTTCCTATCTCTCTGCCCTTTGCCTTGGCTCTGCTCCCCAAATTCTCTGCCCAAATACCCCAGCTACAGCAGCTCTGCTCCTGCACCCTGCCCTGTTCACCAAATTCTCTTACCTTTTTCTTCCTCTGTTTAAGTCTAAGGAGAGTCCTCAGCAGTGAACTGATTATAGGAAACTCATTTATATCATCAGTGCCATAGTAGGACAGACTTCTTTAATGATCTAAGAGAAATACTTTTAATTAAGCAAATGTCCCACTCAATTCGTTGTGGACAGTGCCATCATAATGGATATTACTTCTGCGTGCGAAGTCTTAATTTTCACCCGTACTGAATGCAAAACATGAAACCATTAGAAAACAAAAATACAGCCTTGCTCTAATATTGCCATTTTAAAGCTGCCAGCTTTTATAGTCATCAGTATGATGACAACACATCCCTGGCTAATGAATTTGACTACAGATCAGGGTTTTTATCGGCTATAGACATGAGATCAAATCCATGCAGACGTATTATTTGCAGGTTTTATTAAAAAGTTAAATTGGAATTATTAGGAACTCTCTTCAGATTCCTTAATAATAAAAGAAAATAAAGTTAAACTCTAATGAGATTTCCTGGAAGCATTTTAAAAGGCTACAGCAGCAGTAAAGTCAGCAGGCACCACGCAGCAAAAGGAAGTATTTACTGATCAGGAGATGAATGTCTCCTCCCCCAGTTTAATGGTTTTACATTATACAGGTTTATAAGAGAGAGGGAGAAAGCAAGAAAAACTCCAAGACAGCACTTCCCTCATCTCAGATATCGTATTTCTTGTGATCAAAGCCTTCAAATCCTGGTGCAAACTGACTTTTTGCTCCCATGACCAAAATCTCACTCTTCCCCCCTCCTCCCTCCATCTGTTCAGGCTTGTGTTTAGAAGTCCCTACCACAGAGGCAGAAAGGCTGATCCCTATTGCCTCGTATGTGGTGTGGAAACCCATTAATATTCCTCTGGCAGGTACCCTGACCCCGCTGCCCTTGAACATGCTCGGGAACACAGGGTATTCCTGAGCCTTTGTCCCTGGGAGGATTAACAGGGTTGCCCTGGAGCCAGCCTGAAGGTGTTTTAATAGGTAATACGGGTGGGCTGCTCAGCTGACTTCAAGCTTTGCCTCAGGCTGCCCCTGCTCAGCAACATAGGTGCAGGCACTGAAATGATTGGGGAAAGCTCATTTCTTTGTTGTTCTGTGTATGGTTAGGGTCTGAATCTTCTGAATTTGTGGGAGGATAGCTCCAAATATCCCATCCATCCCAGTGTGGCAGCATCCCAGTGGAGGAAATCCAGGCTGGAGACCTGCTCTGCTTCTGCCACTCTGACCTTTAGTCAGGGATTTATCCTGTTAACCCTCAACCACCACCCCCCCCCCTCACCCCCCATCTATTTTGCTTTTCTCTCTGGTCTTTCTCATGCCTTTGAAGCTTATAATTTGCCTGAAGACGGGAGCGTGGCTCTCTGTGTGACTTAGCACAAAGAGGTGCCAGTCTCAGCTGCGTCCTGGGGCTTTATCAGGGTGGAAGTATATAAAGAGCTAGTAGTAGTAACAATGGTCACTTTTTTGTATGAGCGATAGGATCCTAATGGAGGAGAAGCCTCTCCTCCGAGGTGTTCTTAGCTGCAAGTGAAGGTGTCTCTTTCCTTGCCTTTTAAATCAAAACTTGTCATGCAAAATGGAGCACATCTTTGATTATATGGAATACTATCCTGCCTGTAATTTACCTCTGTGGCTGCAAAGGACGCAACATGATTAAGCTAAGAAATGGTAGACTGAACATTATGTGTCAGGGTGGAAGAAGGTATTTCCTATCTAAATAGGAAACAATCATTAAAACCCAGTGAAAATACACAAGAAACTGTTTCAACTTAAAATAATTAAGGCACCCCTCTCTTGCTTTATGTTGTATTGAAGCTCTCCTTGCTCAGATTGCTGCAGACACTTGTTCTGTAGCCTACAATAGTCTTTGTTTTCACAACCCCTATGAACTGGCATGATTTTGTAATGATGTATCTTTCCTTCATAAGTGCCCATGTTCTGCTGACTGCTCTGTCTTGCCAACTCTCCTGTGTTTCCCTGAGTGAGTCCACATTCTCAAATTGTAGCTGTGTGCAGTGTATTTTCCTGGAGCTGGTAAAACCATCGCTACTTCACTTAATAACTATGTTTTAGCAGTACCTGCTATCGCTTGTTATCGGGCATACACCAGAGGGGGAAAGGGGTCATTATCCCCATTCTACAGACCAGGAAACCAAAGCATTGCATTTAGCAGCAATTTCCCCCCAGACATGCTGAAGAACGTGTGAACAGGAGAAAGACCAACATCCCTTCAGCTCACATTTCACCCCTTAGCATTTGTACCTGCTTTTTTGCCCCCTTTAATATTACCACCTGCAGCACTGTGCCCTCCCGCCAGCATTGCAGGGAATGATCATAGCAGAGCCAAATGCTTTTTGCGATCACAAATTCAGATACTGCAGCAAACAATGCGAGTAATTTTCCTAATTTTAGAGTGTGACTTTGCCATGTGTGATGTTTTGTAACTTGCATCGTGTTTCTGATGGGTTCTGGATCCGATGCCAATAACATGCTCTGCTTCCAGCCAAATTAGCATACGATGAGATTTGGTGCTAGTATTCAGATGATAAGGTCTGTTTGCTGTTTCCATATAGATGTATCTTTGACAGGAAGAGCGATTCTATAATAAGCCCAGGATGAAAAACCCATCAATCGAATTGGTACCACATTACCATGGCAACAATATAATGCTAATGAAATTGTGACTGTTGAACCTTGTTTATGGAACTCGACAAAATGGGCTTCATAAAACGAGAAATCGTGTCGGTTAGTAAATGTTTCAAAGCATGATAAAACCCTTACAATCACATGTGCTGTGACTTATTAACCACATTATCATCCTCAGTTAACATAATGCATTGCTGTTCATAATAAGCATTTATTTCCTCGAAGAAATAATATTATATAGGGCAGTCTGTGCTTCTCCAGGTTTCAACGTGCACCACAAAGTCTTACTCACCTCCATGCTCCAATTCACTAGGTCTGATGGCATAGGGGGCATATCTAGTCACGCAGTTGTTACGCTTGTTTAGTCCCTCAAAATCTATAAACTACACTGCTACTGTAGCTGCAGTAAACACTGTTTCTGTAAGAGAAACTTTGCTCAATTTATATCAAAATACTCCACTAAAATGTGTCCTTTCAGATGAAACCCTACACAGAGGGTGTCTGGTAGCAGTAATGTGCTCTTGGCTTCCCCCCTTCTTTCCTTCTTCCCCTTTGGCAGTTTACTGCTATATAGGGCCCAGATGCAGAGGCAGGCAGTCACCCTCCCAGAAGGATGGCTCTAATTCCTCAGCACAGTGAACCTTGCTCAAGGCAAGGTTTGATGTTATGTCCTGCTTTTAAACAAGAAAATGCTGAGCATCCTGATTTCCCAGTATCCTGAGAGCCAGCAGGTGCATAGGTTTGGGTCCTTAAGACCATCCAGTTCCAACCCCCTGCCATGGGCAGGGACACCTCACACTAGACCATGTTGCCTAAGGCCCTGTCCAACCTGACTCCTGGGAAGTTGCCTCACCTCTAGGCACCTCCAGTGTTGAGTTTTGCACAGCACCATCTCATTTTTAGCTAATGGATAGTTTTTCCTCATTGTTTTCACCTCAGAAATAAAGGGTAGCACACCTAATGAGTCCATCTCCTAATTTGCCAGGTAAATCAGAGCACATAAGCAGGTGAACAGGCAAGCAATGAGATCAGTGAGACAAGGGGGCTGGGAATGCATGATCTATGAGATTTTTTCTTTGGCAGGCTAATAATACTGTCAAATAGTCACCACAGTAGTATTACCTAGATATTTAGCACAGGGAATAAGAGAGAACACTGCTCATTTTAGTGATGTCCTGACTACATGGCACAGAAGTCAGTGTGAATCTTTACCACATTAGATTTAATGGGCTTTAAATCAGGGCTTTTAAAGGCTGGTTTTGAAAGCTCCACGTTTCATCCTATTTGGAAAAGGAAGCCCTGTCTAACATTCCGTTATACCCACAGTTTGTGGGAAAGCAATGCACTGAATTTCTGCGTTGATAGAAATATAATGCAATGTAATTCCACTTAATATATATTTTGCACTGGCTGACAGGTTTATTAAGCAGAACCAATAATCATCATTATCCAGTGTAATAACCATCTCATTAGAAATGGTCTAATTTTCCCTAATTTTAATTTACCTCTCGGACTGAGCTGATCTGAAATTCCTGAAGTGCCTCCGGTTCAGTTTTGTAAGAATTAAAAGGAAACAAAAGTCTTCAGAAAGCTCCTGCTGAGTGATTGCTGCTCAAAGAGCGGTGCAGTAGAGCTTTGTATCTGGTGTATCTCTGATGTGTTTGTACCAGACAGAAGGAAGTCCACAACATTCAGGTAAGGAATTACTACATCACTTTTCTTTCCTTACTGGCTTTGAAGTAACACTTTCTACACCCATTTTGCACAGTGATAAATTGTGTGGTTGACTGCAAGCCTTGCATGCACTCCCCTTTAATAAAGGACCTGGCTAAGGATCACGCCAAAGAGTGCTGGTAGGGAGGAGCTGACAAGCAGAAACGGTTCTTAGAGGGATGAAGAAGGAGATGAAGACACCCATCAAGTTTCATTATCCTCCAACGAAAATAGGATGTAAACTGTGACATCCTGGCAGATTACATATGTCAGGCAAGCAGATGTGAGCAGAAAAATGTAGATGCTAAATCTCACCTAATAGGCTTACTCTGTGGATTATTCACAATGACCAAGGCTGTGTTAACTGTAGTAGGATATAAGAAATAAGTGAATCTGGGGACATTTC